TGCCCGATTCGGCGTCCGACTCCTCGTGTTCTTCATCCATGTCTTCCCCATTGAAATTGTCAATGACATCATAAATTGCATCCATCTCGGCATCTCTTCGGACTCCACTTCAATTGGGTAGTTCCTCCTACGACCGGGCTCAATCTCAACCTCGTAATCTTCAACGTCGATTGGAAAGAACTTACTACGGCCCGCCACATTCTCAAGCTCATAAATTTCCACGTCGATTGGATGATCATGTGTTGCTCCCGCAATCCCATTGTCATCATGTTCCAACATGTCACCCGGACCATCGTCAAAGTCTATCTCAGCGGCTTGACGATTCACGAACACCTCCACACATTCACTATACCACTTGAATCCAAAGAGCCGGAAGAATTTTTGGAAATGTGTTTCCTACAAAGAAACGAAAGTGAAGTTAAAAATTTTAATAAATCATCAAAGAAACAAATGATCATATAAATGCGAATGATAATAGTGAATGAACTTTTACATCCAAATAAATAAAATCAAACATTCAAACAAAATATGTATAATTGGACATTTTAGATGCTAACAACATTTACATATTTAGCAAACAAATATCATATTTTAGCAAACAAATATCATTTTAATATATGTATGAAGGAATAACTTAAAATTTACCTCCCCAACATGTTTCCAATAAGTTGGTTTAACCGTAACCATGCCATCATCGGGGTACAACAAGACGCCCGTTGTGTAGGTGAATCGGTTAAAGGCTTCAAAATAATTCTTCAAGAGATTTATCTTCATACGAACCTTCGCCTTGTTGAATGCTTTGTACAATGAATCCGAAAGTTGACGTCCAAGATCGGTCCAAATGGAATTGAATACCGACGGCCTTCTTATGTCGGGCATTGACCGACACTTGTCAAAGAACATGCGATACACTAGCTCCTCCTCTTCCTCCGTCCAATGCACCCCACGAAAATGGATTGTCACATTGCGGAGGTCTCCGTCGTTAGCCATGCTCCTATGAACGTGAAGACATTACATTAAACAAAATAAAAAAAAACAATAAAAATCGAAAGTAAAGAAATTTAGACAAAATCATTTATTTTTTTTTTGTTAATTTTAAAAATATAAATGAGACAATGAACTTCATCCTACCTTGTAGATAAATGAGAGAGTGAAGAATATTTAAGAGGTAGTTGAAGAGAAATGAGAGAGTGAAGTATTTTGGTACAATTAAGCCACTTTATATAGGAACCTATTTGATAGTTGATGAGATTTAGTTGGTTTAATTTAAGACTATCTTGAAATGATGAAGTGGTTTCCCATCAAATCCCTACAATTAAATTTTATTCTCCCAAACAAGTAAGCTCAAGACTATTCATGTAGATAGTAGATTTGTCACCATTTTTTTTATTCTATTATTTGTTCAAAATACATTAATGTGTTTTTGGAATGGAAGATATATTATTTTAATAATAAGAAAAGAAGGTATTATTCAATTTATTAGTCTAATTTAAATTAATAATGTTTACACTAGTGTTAATTTAAGACATTTTTAATGTATTTGATGAAATGAAAGATAAATTTTATTTTTTTGGAATGTAAGATAATATTTTATTTTTTATAATGTGTTGATTTTAAAATGTGATGCCTATAGATGTATGTAGTACCATTGATTTGTTCTTTTTTTTTTTATTATTATTATTTTTTTTACAAAAATAAATGAAGAGTGGTAAGTGTGGAAAGTAAACATGTTTAATGCAATTCCATCATTACAAGTAGTTTGACATCCAATCAAGCTTAAATATGTGGGAACCTAACACTCTTCTCATTCACTTCACTTTAATGAATGATTGAAGTTTGTGTAATAAACATATTTGTATTTTATTTATATATATTGAATAATTATATTTATTTTGAATACCATTAAAAGATGATAAATTGATAAGTTATGTATGAAAATAGAAACCGAACATAAAAAAGTTGTGAACTTTTAAAAATAAGAAGAAAAAAGTTAGGGATAAAAGACAACAAAGAATTTCAAAATGCACCACAACAAGATAAAAGGGCTGAGTTTTGATGCTCACAGCTAAAAGGGCTGAGTTGCTAACTTGGTTGGCGCTCGACAACAAAGAATACACAACATCCCAAACAAGATAAAAGACAACAAAGAATTTCAAAACACACAACATAGCATATTTCAAAACACACAACATCCCATAGTTCAAAATACACAGCATCTCATAGTTCAAAATACACAACCAGGCTAAACGACATAACAACAGCCCATAGGTCAAAAGGTACACCAGCATCCCATTGTTCAAAACACAAACCAATATCCCATAGTTCAAACACAACAAGTTTACATAACTTTTAGAACCTTTTTTCAATAATCATCTAAACCATTTTCACCCGCGCCTCATCATCAAGGCTAAAAAACATGTCCAGGTCTTCATTCTTGTTGCATGTGTCATTGTGTGGACATAATTGTTTGAAACATTTGTATTATGTTATCCATTTTATTGTTTTATGTGTGTTTGTCTTTAATAACATTGAAATGATGTGATTTGTATGTTTGCCCTTCTGGTACAAAATCACTTGTTTGGTCGTACAGATATGGATTTTGAAGGTGGGATTGGCAATAGAGATTCTAGCTCAAATAGTCGGAGGGTTTGGACATTTGAGGAAGAATCAGCTTTAGTAAATGGGCTAAAAGACATTGTTGCACGTGGTTGGAGGTGCGATAATGGATTTCGGTCGGGATATGGTGGGTTACTAGAGCAACACATGAAAAAAGTGTTTCCGAACACAGACATCAAGGCCGAACCACATATTTCTTCTAAGATAAAAGTCTGGAAGAAGAATTACGGTTCCTTGTGCGACATGATGGGTAAGTCTGGTTTTAGTTTAACCGAAACTGGGGCGCTTGACGTGAGGGATGATGACGTATGGAGGGAATACATAAAGGTGCGTATTTGTAAATAAATGAAGTTTAATTATTCCTTCTTAAATTTATGCCAATTTATTTTTTTCCAATCTGTAATTTTTTAATTCTTTCTTGAACATATGTTCAGAAATGCGTTTTTCATAAACTAGAAAAATGAGGCATCACTTCTTTGCCAGTATTTGTATCATTCTTTGCCAGTATTTGTATATTTCTTTCATTTCTCTGGTACAGCCCAATTTCTCAATTTCTCTGAAGTTAAAATAATGTTTCTCAATTTTCTGGTACAGCTCAATTTTCTCAATTTCTCAATTTATCTGGTACAGCCCAATTTTGGAGCATAGTTATTAAGCTTCATTTGATAGTCATTTGTGTCCTGAATTTGTATCACTTGTTTAATATAATGTTTATTTGACACTTGTTACAGATCAGTTATTGCTATGCATTGAATAATTTTTTTCCAACGTATATCGACCCCAACGCAAAACCGATGAGGTACAAGTTATGGCCATTTTATGCAGATTGGTGTGACATATTCGGAAAGGACAGGGCAACTGGTGAGCAGGCTATGGGATTTGTGGATGCGGTAAACGGTGTTTTTAACATGCCTTCGTCCCCGACTACTCCAAATGTGCCTAGAAGATCAGAAACCAACAATAATACTTTTCCACCGGAAGTACATATGCAGGAGGAGTCAAATGTGCATGTTGGGGAGTGTAGTGCGTCTGGCAGGGAGAATAGGTCTAGAAAAAAGAAAAAAGTCGTGGAGGAAGACAATCAGTTCGTGGGGATGTTGTCGTCATTCTGCAAGGAGACTGCAAAGAACATATCGGACATGGTGGTGAGGGTCGGTCATGCCCACGATGCGACCGAAAGACGTGGCAAGGTGTACAATGTGTTAAAAGGTATGCCCAACCTTACTATAGAGGAGAGACTACTAACCACCAAAAGCTGTACAAACGAATAAAAATCAAGTTTATGCCACTTAATCTCCAGCCAACCATGTATTGTACATCGATAATGCTAAATTTTCTCTCCAATTAGTCCACTCTTCAGTTGGTTGCACTACATTGACATGATGTACATTATCATCACCCGCCGTCTCCATGGGGTCAGTAAAATCATCGTTGATGTATCCCTCTAACGGGTCAACCGGCATGAACGTGCGAATAAAGTTTTGGAGAAGGCAACAAGCGAGTATTATCCGGTTTTGAGTACGTATATTGTAGAAACTAGGACTCCTAAGAATGGCCCAACGCATTTTTAACACACCAAACGTCCTTTCTATGACATTTCGGGCTTTCGCGTGCCTAAGGTTAAAAAGCTCTCTATGATTAGATGGGGCACGAGCACCCGATCCATACTCTTGTAGGTGGTATCGAACTCCTCTATATGGAGCTAAAAAACCTGGACCGTTCGTGTAACCGGCGTCACATAGATAGTAATTACCTGATGATGTAAAAGAAACTACAATTAATATTACAACATTCTATTTAGTTTTATGATTACACTAAAAACTAAGAAGTAGATGGAACTAACCAATGGGGACACGCAAACCATTTGGCCTATTAACGACATCTCTAAATACTCGACCATCAGCAGCCGACCCCTCCCAACCCGTTATAACGTAAGTAAAATTCATGTCTTGGTTACACACCCCAAGCATATTTATTGATATAAACATTTTACGGTTTCTGTAACGGGGGTGGAGTTGTGATGGGACACGAACAGGCATGTACGTTCCGTCTAGTGCACCTAGGCATCCCTACATGATATGTATATTTAATGATATAGGAAAACTTAATAAGAATTAAAATACGATTATAATAATAATGAAATACAATTACTATCACCTTAAACCATTTCCACCTTCGATCAGTACAACCTTCATCGATTGCAGTTGGCCGTACCAGTAGAAGTGGATGTAACCGAAGCACAACATCAAGCACATTGTTGAATACTTTGCTTATTGTTTGACCCGACCGATTAAAATCAAATTTAACAACTCTATTTTTTTTATGGTGTGCCAAAACGCTTAAGAAAATCGCTACTTGTTCACTTATTGGAACATTTCTAGTGGTTACAATACCACCCACATTTTCTAACAAAAAACATAACCGACCAAAGGCATCTCGATCCATGCGAAGTTGTTGGACATAATTTGTGTCACTGATGTCTATAAGTTGAGTTAAATGACGAATTTGACTATTAATTCGGTCAGCCATGCGATACATAGGTGTAGAACTCCTACAACGCATGGTACGCTGATGTCTACGGTCATGCACATATTTTTTATAGACATAGCAAAAGACCAAAATGATTCTTATTAAACTTATAATTAAATCGAGAACCATAACAGTTTCGAATTCTTCCGTGTCCATGTCCATCAATATCTGTCGCATACATCATTACAAGGAGATGTAAATATAATACAGAACAATGCATCAAACTATTTGCACAATTCAGATTCAATGTCCAACAAATAAACCAAGCCGCAAAGATAGATCATGATCCTCCACTATACAGTCATGTACAGTAAAAATGAAAGAACATCAAAAGATTTGTTTTTCTTTCTTCTAGATTTCATTGCCCATTTTATAAGTTATATAATGTGGAGGGCGGCTCCTTCTCCTGACTAATTACTGAAAGGCTCAAATGCACATAATACTATACAGTAGCAGTTTTAAATCAATAATCTTGCAAATTTGAACTGCATAAAGGACAAAAGTAATCACTTTTCCATACATATTTTAAGAAATTAACCAAAACTGTATACATGGGTTCTTTAGAATAAACATATATTGAAGATTAGCATTTTCTACTGTCCATAAAAACAGTTCATATTCCATACACTCCTCATCATATAGCAGAAGAACAAAGAGAAGCTTAAACTTGATATCCAAGCAGACAACATCACAATTTTGATCATGACGAATGAAATAAACAAGACATCGAAATCCAACTGAAGTAAAATAAGAAATTGAATGAATAGAACAACAAATTTACTAGCAACGTAAAGCATTTAATAAAATGATAGGGGAGATTTAAGAAAGACCTGCACTGGATCGAAACAAAGGGAGAAGATCACGGTGGACTGGAGGTGTTCGATGAAAGGCAGACCACATACAGATCAGTGTCAGCAAACACCAGCAACACAAAAATGGAATACACAAAAATAATTCATAAAACAACTAACCCAGAAAATGGAACCGTACAAAACGACCACTTAATCACAAGATACAACAGCTTACCGTTAACGTAGTCGGAGCTGTCTGGCACTTGCGCAGACCGGAGAACACTGTTGTGCTTCGTTTTCAAGCAGCGTCGGCCGGATTTCTTCCGGCAGCTGTAGAAGACACGATGGAGGGAAAAATGTGAGAGAAGAATCTGTTTTGGGGGCTAGGGTTTGCGAACGCGAGAAGAATCTGCTTTCTAGCCATAAGAACCCTTTTATAGGGGTAAGGATGTAATTGAGGGAGTTATGAAGGGCAAAGTAGTCCGAAATTAAAAAAATTGAGGGCACATCAGTAATTTATTGTACCAGGATAAATCTAATTCCACCAAAAAGCTGGGATGGTTTAATCCCAATTTCATGGGACTATCTGGTTTTTCATCCCGGGCCTTGAATTAATACCGGGCTTCAATCCTGTATAGCAAACGTGGGATTAGGCAGGGATAAGCCAGGATATCCTGGCTTATCCCACAAAACAAACAGGGGCTATGTGGCTACCGTTTATGTGACATGCACACATTGGTTATATTAATATGTTAAAAAAATACATTACTTGACCACCCACAATGCTTTCGGTCTCTTTTTGCATATGTGGTAAATAAATTGGCTTAAGTCCATAATGACGTGGACAAACTCAAGCTAAAAAATTCAAAATCTATCCAATGCAAAAAAAAAAAAAAATATATAAAAAATTGTACTAGGTCTAGTAAACCCAACAACTAATAAAAATATCATAATAACAAATGCATGCAAAAGAATATGTTTTGCCTATTAAAAAAAAAAAGAAAATTGTGAATAATTGATAATTAGGTAGATTTGTACTTGAGTCCAAAATAGACCCAAGAGTGGACTTGGTCTTCTTTTTCTAGTGCCACATAAGCTAGACCAAGTCTATTTTTTATTGCATTGGAATATATCTTTTTATAGACTAAGTATATTTCCTACATGGCACTTGATTTTTTTTTAAGAGACTCAAAGCATTGTGGGTGCTCCAATGTGTTTCTTAGAAAAAAATCACATGTCATGTAGGAAATAGACCTAGTTTATAAAAAAGTGTTTAACAATGAAATTAAAAGTGGACCCAGTCTAGCTTATGTGGCAATAAAAAAAAAAGAGACCGAGTCCACACTTGGGTCTATTTTGGACCCAAGTACAAACTCAGACACTCATCATTTATTCCTAATTTAATTTTTCTTTTAATAAAGGAAACATTGTTATCATCCGACTCGGTAAAGCACAATTAAGGACCTTGAACAGCATCTCAAGTGAATTTGACTCCAACACCGAAGTGATCCCTACCCGCCGAGGTCATTCCGAACCGAGGTCAACACAAACCGAGGTCGTCACCTCCTAAAGCAGGTGACAAGGTGCCTACACGCCCCTCTCACAATCCACAAGATTTGTTATCATTTATGTAGGGCCCACTGGCTCTGCCGCCCATCAAAAGTAGCTTTATCGGAAAAGCAACGCACGGATCCCGATGTATATACCAAAAAAGTTACTATAAATAGCTAGCTAATGGTACCTGTACGGGATTCGATTCCGAAAAACCAAACTCTTTTATAATGAAACACGAAACAGCTCTCAGA